CAATCAGGGAACATACCAGTTCAAAGTATATTGTTAAACAGGTTCCTGTCAAGGATGTTAGCTGCACTATCATTTTCCCAGCAGCCATGACTTTGCTTATGTCTATTTACAATTAAATGTGTCTTTTTCAATGAACGTTCATCTTTCTAAATGTGTCTGAGACTCAGCCTATAAAAATCATCTATCACATAAGATCTGCTTTTAAATAGATATTTAAAGCAGTTAATTTTAATTAGATAATGCATCAAGAAATGTATTTTTAGTAGTGTCACTTTGAACCACATGCATTTCATACTCTGCAGTATGTAACTATCTGATAGTTTCTGAAGTGTGTATAGATAGCAAAGTATGAGATTTAATTATTTTGACAATATAATTCTGTTAGTGATCAATATTTGCTCAGCCAAATGTCTTCAAAACTGCATTGTCTTTTATTCTATTTCGCTGTTTGCAAACTAATTAATCTGGTTCAGACTTCAGATTGTGGTGCCAATTATAGACATTTCAAAGGATTAATGACTAGAGGTAATCCTATAGTCCATAGATGGGAATGTATAATTAAGAGGAGGTTTGTACTTTCTACTCAGTATTCTACTTCCACTTGTAATATCTGTTATACACCCATACTTTTTATAATCTACTTTTCCTCTAATGCACCCTCTATTTTGGCTATCTTCATGCAGCATTGATTGGATGTTGTTCTAATTCATTAATATCAGTGAATGATACTACTTGGTAAAAGGTTGCAGGATCAAGGAAAGAAACCTAACCTCTTAAAATCTACTATTGCTTTCTTTGAGGTCCACCTTTTTGTAACCCTTACACTCATTTGAAGTCTATTGCCTAGCAAAACCATGTTTCCTGCCTTGAAGGATTTCAACAATTTGTAGATTAGAAAAGCTTGACCCAATATGTGATCCAAGTAGAGCCTAAAGACTGAAAAAACACAAGGCAGTAAAAAAGGCCCCAAACCTATTTTTCGTTGCTTAATTCAGTGAATTTAAAGTCTTGTCTTGATCTGCTCCACAAAACTGCACAGCCCCTAATATCTGTTTTCTTTTCTCACAAATTGCAGTACTCGTGTAACTCTTCTGCAGTACTCCTATAACTCTCCTGACTCCATATTAGCTATGAAGTAGAACAAAATCTGAGAGCACAACTCAGTGCGCACACACTCTCTCACAGACAATCAGAGCAAATATAAGGGCACTTAGTTGAATGCCTTTGATCAGATAAATCACAATTCAACAATATCTGCTGTATTTCACAAAAACATAATGATGCCAGACACAGTACAACAGCAGTGAATAGCACAGGAGTGCACCATCTCATTGTTAGCACTCCTGTACTACCCTCTCTATCAAAGATACTCCAGAGAAAATGAAGTAAAAGAGTTAATAATTGCTAGTTGTGCCTCTGTGGCCCTTTAACATTACAAGCTCAATTTTATTGTTATTTCTGTTGTAAATTATTAGGAGTTTCCACAAGATGAACAAGCTGTCAATATTGGTTTTTCTCAATGATTAAAAAGTACCCCCTAAAAACTAAGGATGTTCGATATTGGGTAGTTGAATAGTCAAGTAACCACAGGAATTTTTATCAGTTACTCAATTATTCTATAGTCCCCAGGGACAGGGCTGGCAGCCAGTAAGCTCTGGCTCCACTCCTGGGAAGCTCCCTGCCACCCTTCGCTTAGGGTTGCCAGTTGTCCGGTATTGAACCGGACAATCCGGTATTTTAATTTTGTGTCCGGTAAACAAATTGAGAAAATACTGGATATACAAATGTCCGGTATTTTCTAAGTAAGTAAGTTTTTCTGCTTTTCCCGGGCCTGGCTCCGCGCCCAACGGAAGCCCGGTCGGGACACGCAGCAATTAAAGGGGCCATGACCGCATTTCAGCCCAACCTCCCGAACCCCGCCTCCCCCCTGCCCCCGGTCTCCCTGGTGGGTTTTTTTTTTTTTTTTTTTTGCTCAACTAATTTTTATCAAATTTTTGTCCGGTATTTTTTTGAAACCATCTGGCAACCCTATCTGAGCTACTGCCTCTGTATCAAAGGCAGCAGCGTGGGATGCCAGGCAGGAGCTGGCCCGCAAGGGGAGCCAGTTTAAAAACCAGTTTCCCCTGCAGCCCACCTGCCTGCTGCCCTGCGCTGCTGCCTCTGACACAGGGGCAACCAGGCAGGGTGGCAGCAGTTCCCGTCCCCGGGGGATCTGAGCTCCCTGCAGACAAAGGCCGCTGCAGAGGGGGGAAGGGACCAGGGGAGGTTGCCATGAAGTAAACTCTGGAGCCTGGGCTGGCTGTGGACAGAGGCTGCTCCAGAAGCAGGCCCTGTCCACGGGGGTCCAATCTCCCAATGGACAGAGACTGCTCCATGAAAGGCATGCTTTGCGGCAGCCTCTCCTGCTCCTCCCCATGCTGTTGCCTCTGCTGCTGTTGCCTCTTAAGCCGGCTCCCCCCGTGGCTCCTGCTTCCCACCCCCTTTGCTGCTTCTGATACAGAGACAGCTGGGGGCAGGGGAAATGCAAGTAGTCGACAAGATTAACTGATAAGCCTAGGCTTATCAGTTAATCATATAGTTGACTATACATTGACATCCCTACTAAAAACCTAACATCCTAGATGATCAATTTATGGTTCTGTTGGACTTCTCGCCCCAATAAATATACACTGGTAGTATTCATAATACAGAATTATATCAGTACAAATTTTATTACATGAAAAAATATTCCATTCTAACCCAGTTTACTGAATCATAAAGAGAATATCAGGTAAATGTTAGTATATATTCGGAGCCCAAACAATAATTATCAAAGTTCAATATAGTTCAATGTCTACTGTAGTACAAAATACTGTCAACAGAATTTCATCAATAAATACTAGTAGATTTAAGATTTTGCAAGGTTCAGTGTGAAAATAAGTAACATTAAGCCAATAAGTATATAGCTGTATTTTTATTAAAGCGAATGCTTTTCATAAATAACAATTTTTGAAATCCTGGTTGTCATGCAAAGTCAGACTCCACTGATTTAATCAAAGCTACTCCCTATCGACACCAGTGTAAATGAGAGCAGAATCAAGCCCTTGCTGCAGTACAGTTCCTCACAGTGCCCTGTTTCAAGCTTAGTCTAGAACAGACTAAGTGGTGTGTTGTTATCTCATGTGAGGTACCTAACATGGTCAAAGTGTAACATAGACAAGATAAAATGCAAATATGCTAAAGTGGACACCTTAAAACAGTGGCCTCCAACCTTTTTACAGCCAAGATCACTTTTTAAATGACAGAACAATCCAAGATCTACCGCCCCACCCGTTCCTTGAAGCCCCGTCTTCTCTATTCTTCTCCTCTCCATCACTTGCTATCCCCAACCCTTATACTGCTGCTTTTTTCCCAATTCTTCTGTAGGAAGAGATTTTTCCAACATTTGGCCTGTCTAGACTGGACCAAATGTCAGAAAAAAACCCTTCTTTTGGAAGCCCCCTTATTCCTCGTGGAACGAGGAATATAGGGGTGACCAAAAGAGCAGTTTGCTCTTCCATTAAAAAAAGCGGAAGAACAAATGCATCTCTGGATGCAGAAGATATCTCCGGAATCCTGAAAAACTCCTGCAGTCTAGCCGTACCCTCGCTGGGTTAAGACAGGATGTGTAGGCTCTGGGGTAGGAATGAGGGATTTGGGTATGGGAAGGGGTGAGAGGCAAGCTCTGGGAAGAAATCTGGATGCAGGAGGAAGTGGAGAAGGGGATGCCGGCTCAGGGAGGGGGCTCCAGGCCAGGCAGTGTTGGGGTCAGATGTAGGGTTGGGGTACTAAGCAAGCCACAGACTTGTGGATGTGAGGGTTCAGGAATTTGGGTTGGGGTATGTGAGGGGCTCAGGGCAGGGGGTTCTAGTGTATGATAGGCTCAGATCTAGGGTCTGGGGGAAGGGATGTCCTGATGCTGTGGGAGATGGGGGCTTGGCCCCAATTGGGGGTTTGTTGTCCAGGCTTCATTTTTAAATAAAATGACAAACAGAAAAAGTTTCTGCGTTGTCTTTATTTATGGGAAGGGCAGGAAACCTGTTTTGAGTCAGGAGTCACTGACCCACAGAAAAGTCAGTCGGGGCCACACAAATGAGACGCAAAAAAACCTCTCCTCCAAAGCTTCCCTCCCCACAAGCCTCACTAATGTGGCCCCAACTGTGCTGGTGGGAGCAGGGGACATGGTACTGGGGAAGGGTGCTAGTAGGTGCTGGGCAGAGGACAGGGTGCCAGTGGGGGCAAGGTTCTGCAGCTGGGGGCAGGGAAGAGAGAACAGGATGCCGGGAGGGCAGGGGACAGGGTTCTGTGGCAGGTGACAGGGTGCCAGTGGGGGCAGGGTTCTGCGGCAGGGGAGCCCCCCAGAGGAGGCAAGCCTTGTCGCACACCTCCTCCAGGCCCGACTCCTCCCTTCCGCAGAGCAGGAAAGCCTGCGCACACACCCCCTCGGGGCCGACCCCCCCCCTCCTGTGGAGGAAGGAAGTCCCATCACGCGCCTCCCCCCAGGACTCCTCCCCCATATCCCACAGAGGAGGGAAGCTCTGGTGTACACCTCCTTTGGGGACTCCTAACCCTTCTCTCCCCACCTCCAGAAGGAAAGCCCCAGAGCTCACCTCCGACCAGGACTCCTCCCACATCTCCCACAGAGGAGGAAAGCCCTGGCATGCATCTCCCCCCGGGACTCCTCCCCTATCCCTGGCAGAGGAGGGAAGCTCCGGTGCACGCCTCCTCTGGGAACTCCTAACTCCTCTCCCCACTCCCAGAGGAGGGAAGCCCCAGCATGCGCCTCCCACCAGGATTCCTCTCTCCTTCCCCTGCAGGAGGGAAGCCCCAGCGCGTGTCTTCCCCTAGGACTCCTACCTCCTCCCCCTGCACAGCAAGTCCTGGTGCGCCACAGACCTGGAGGAGGGGAGCAGGCAGCGCACTTCCGGAAACCGCGGAAGTGGCGCACAGCTGCCGGACTTCCATCCACCCCGCAGGAAGGCGGCACTACCTCCATTATTTCTGGAAGTAGGTAGTGGGGCTTCTTGGGGGTGGGGGAAATTGGGAGGGCCCTGAACGCCTCACAATCGACTGGTTGAGCCCTCCCAATCGACCACCTGATCGCGATCGACGGGTTAGTGACCACAGCCTTAAAATCTACCTGCACTTTAACTTTCCCAATCTCACTCCTGTTAAGGTTGTGTATCTTCTCTATACTAGACCTAAAGCATGTTAGCACAAATTAGCTAATGTGCTTATGTCACACCTTTACATCCTAATCTGGACAAGACCTTAAGGGTAAATGTCATCTGGAATTTGTATTTGATGTTCCTGATATACAATATGAAGGGGACTAATTTAGCTACAACTACTCCAGAGAGAGATCTTGGAGTCACTGTGGATAGTTCTCTGAAAACATCTACTCAGGCTGATCTATTGGGACAAGGTATGCAAATTTCACACCTTTTTCCAATAGTTTCTTCGGAAGTGGCTTTTCCAAAATTTGGTCCACCTACACTGTGCCAAATTTTGGAAAAGCCTGCTGTTTCAGAAGAGCCCTTCTTCCTCATGGAAGAAGGAAAACGGGGCTTCCAAAAGAGCGTGGCTGCTCTTCCACAAAAAAAAGTGGAAGAGCAGACGCATTCCCTGATGAGGCAGAATTTTTCCGGGATATCTCCGGTATCCCGGAAAAACCATGTAGTGTAGACATAGTCCCAGTGTGCTGTGGCAGTCAAAAAAAGCAAATAGAATGTTAGGAATCGTTTAAAAAGGGATAGAAACTAAGACAGAGATTATCTTATTACCTCTATATAAAACCATGGTACGCCCACATCTTGAATACTGCATACAGATGTGGTTACCACATCTCAAAAAAGATATATTGGCATTAGAAAAGGTTCAGAAAAGGGCAACACAAATGATTAGGGGTTTTGAATGGGTCCCATATGAAGAGAGATTAAAAAGACTTGGACTTTTCATCTTAGAAAAGAAGAGACTAAAAAGGGATATGATAGAGGTCTATAAAATCATGACTAGTGTGGAAAAAGTGAATAAGGAAAAGTTATTGACTTATTCTGACAGTATAAGAACTAAGGGTCACCAAATGAAATTAATAGGCAGCAGGTTTAAAACAAACAAAAATAAGTTTTTCTTCATGCAGCACGCAGTCAACCTGTGCAACTCCTTGCCAGAGGATGTGGTGAAAACTAGGACTTTAACAGGGTTCAAAAAAGAACTCGATAGATTCATGGAAGTTAGGTCCATCAATGGCTATTAGCCAGGATGGGTAAGAATGGTGTCCCTAACTTCTGTTTATCTGGAAATAGGTGACAGGAGAGGGATCACATGAGGATTACCTGTTATGTTCCCTCCCTCTGGCACCTGGTATTTGCCACTGCCGGCAGACAGGATTACTGGGCTAGATGGACCTTTTGTTTGACCCAGTATGGCTGTTCTTATGTTTTTCACAGGTGGACTTATGTTATTTCTATCAGTGTACAAATAAGCACTGTTAATAATATTTTGAATATTCTCAAAACACATAGGCTGAAATCCTGGCAGTATTGAAATCAAGGGGAGTTTAACCATTATCTTCACTGGGACTAGGATTTCCCCTTCAAGGTCCTCATTTATTTTGTTTAGATGCAAAATCGCCCTTGAAAAGTCATTATGATGTATGACTTTGGTGCAGATGGTAAAGCTGTTACCTTGGCTGGATGCCCACCATTTTCTCGACAGAATCAAACATTCTCTCCCACTTGCAATCATGAGGCTCCTGGGGACAGCCCTGCAAACAATTACAGTGTAAACAATTGAGACAGACCAGCTGAGTCAGTGTCTAACTGGGCACCCTGACAAACCATCTTTGCCTTGCTGGACTCCTATGGGCCATAACAAAAGGATAAGTTAAAGGGGAACAGACAGTGAGGTTACCAAAGGGGGTAGTATACTCACCAGAAGTAAAAATCTTCTCTAATGTGATTCATTTATTTATATAAGAATTTTAGTAGAAGTAACATGTTTCCACACTATGTGGAAAATATATTGGGTGGGCACAGAGGGCATGGTACTCCATTACTCCAGTTTACACTGATTTTGTACAGGTCCAGTCAATCCTGAGGACTGATGTACCTAGAGAGAGGAGGCACCAGCAGTGAAATCTTGACCCCACTGAAGTCAAAATCAAAACACATATTTCATGTTAACATGGCCAGGATTCTCCCTACATTTGGAGCCAATGGGCAAATTGAATAAGCCCATGTAACCTCACACACAGTGCCATCTCTTAGCTCCAGAACAGTAATAACCCCTGTGCTATAACTGTACAGTAAGAGAGACACTAGTGAGACCTTGGCCATGTGGGATCTACAGAGAGCAATAGCCTAGAGGCAAATTTCAGTCCAAAGGGATGATGTCCTCTCCCCAGAAAATACTTCATTTAGGAGCTTTCAGCTGATAGGGAAGTGTCTTGGAGCTGGTCAGTCTCTCTCCAGCAATTAGACAAAGCACCTTGTCCCTCCCTCTGGGGCAGAGGGGAGCCACTGCCTCCTCTGATGCCAACCCCTCTAAGGTGTGTCTAGACTACTGGGTTTTTTGGAAAAAAGTTGCCTTTTTTCAAAAAAATTTCCCCTGCATCTAGACTGCTGTCACATTCTTTCAAAATTAAATCGAAAGAATGCAGCGGTTTTTTCGACCACGGTAAACCTCATTTTACAAGGAATAATGCCTTTTTTCGAAAGCGCTCTTTTGAAAAAAGGCATTCTGGAATGCAAAGAGGGCTTTTTCGAAAGAGAGTATCCAGACTGCCTGGGTGCTCTCTTTCAAAAAAGTGGATTGCTTTTTCAAACTAAGTGGTTGCAGTCTAGATGCTCTCTTTCGAAAGAGGCTTGTAGTCTAGACGTAGCCCTAGTGCTTTGGCTACCAGGAGTGTCAGCTGGATGACTCTCTCCACTGCAGTTCCCCACCTGCTTTCCACTGGGACGAATCACACAAAGACAGAAGGAGTCTTTCTGGTACCACATTCCATATGTCAGCTTCTTGCACCTGAGTAGCAGTTTCCCTGTGTGGGTGTCCTAGGATAAAAAAGGCACTGTCATGATGGACAACAGTACTATCGGCTAAAAGCATAATGTTCACCAACCCACCAAAGTCAGCCGCAGTGGCTAGAAAATGAAGTATATTTTGTTCAAAGAACATCACACATCAACGTGTTTCTTTATATGGAGTTACAGCCCCCTGACAATTAATCTGTTGAGGCAGCAGGTTTTATCCTGCAGACAGAGTGCAGTTGTGATCCTCTGACATTTTACCATATGACTTCTGGAGATAAAGCAGCCCACTTTAAAGCATACTCTGCAACCCACCGTGAATGGTGCTAAGCAGTATCTCTTACTGGAATTAATTGCTTCAATCCTTCTCACTGAAGAGACTACTAGACTTCATGGCAGCTCTTTACATACTCATTTTACAGAGTCAGTGGACAGCTTAATCATGTAGCAGTTTCATTCCCATTTTAATTTGTTTAAGAGTTCTATAAGACCACTAATCCCAATAGCAAGTAATAGTAAGTTAAAAACTCAAATGTTTTATTCAGAGAAAAATCAATAGCAGCTGTTCTTCTCTGCTGCTGTAATTTACCCAATATTTTAGTCATGTTGTTTCTTTTTCAGGTTTCTCAAACCTCTGATACTTAGAAACCCACTGACCTTGTTTATACGGGGATGAATTAGGATATTATTGCAATTATAATAGTTGGGGGTCTATTGAGGTATATCAGAGAACGAACAAAGTGATGTAGTTAAACATCCTGTCACATCCTGATTTTGTATTCATTTGTACTAACATTCCCTAAACTCTGGATGTTTAATTGGCTACAAGATATTCTGCTCATAATACTTGAGACATTTTGGACATTTTAGTTTGGAAAGAAGAAGACTGAGAGGGATAGCAGTTTTCAAGTATCTAAAAGGGTGCCACAGGGAAGAGGGGGGGAAGTTGTTTTTCTTGGCCTCTGATTACAGGACAAAAAGCAATGGGCTTGAATTGCAGCAAAGGAGGTTAAGATTGGACATTAGAAAAAACTTCATGTCAGGGTGGTTAAACACTGGAATAAATTGCCTAGGGAGATTGTGGAATCTCCATCACTGGAGATATTTAAGAGCAGGTTAGACAGACATCTATCAGGGATTATATAGAATTATAGACCATGCTTGGTCCTGCCATGAGAGCAGGGGACTGGACTTCGTGATTTCTCGAGGCCCCTTCCAGTTCTAGTATTCTATGATTCTATGATTTATTTCAGCCCTTACTTACCAAGACAAAGGTATTTATGTGTTTTATTATAGTGTTACAGTGTAGAGGGCAGCAGTTTGCAGGTGTTTTTCCTTTATTGTTGGATTTTGAGAGTTTACTATACATTTTGGTTTAATACAATAATATTTTGACCACCCGCATTTCAGGGTATAAGTAAATTGCTATAGATACTATTCACATTCCACCCAGAAATGAAGCACTGTGTTCTGCAGCCTTACCTGGACTCAGCACTGTTTTCATTGAATAAATGGCACCTTCACTCTTATTCAGACAAAACACCCATTGAAGCCCCAGGCTTTGTCCTTTGCCCATTGAAAGCTGAAGGTATTTCCTAACATGGAATAAAAAAATGCTTTTTGTGAATTTCAATAACAAGTCTTTAGTGGGAACTGCTTCAGTATGTGAGCTTTTAGCAAACACTGAAATCTATTGCTAATAATGTAAGTACAAAACACTGGGATAAATCTAAAGCAGAAAACCTGTATCCAAATACAAAGATATTTTCAAATTTATCTCAATAGGGCTAAAATCACACAGGGTCTATGCTCATTTCTGGTGGAGGTCACTAGGCAGGATTTTGGAGTGACCTCTATCTGGCACAATCTTCTATGAACCAGGAAGGCATTAGGGGACCAACCCAGCTTAAAGTGTGAGTAGTTGTGTCTGGGAAAGGAAATGACCAACTTGGCCAGAGGATGCACTGAATCACTGTATCTTCTCAGCAGCCTCTGCTAGCAGGGTTCCTGCAGTTCTTTTTGCCTCCCCCAGATGGGAGGAGCAGGTAGGGGCATGGGAAGGTACCCCTAAAGAAAAGCAATTGTGAAAAACCTCGTTCCTTTGCAGTGAATATAGCAGCTGCCAGTGGTACAGTGAGATGCATTTTACAGCTCTCCCTGGCAGTTTCAGTGGATCTGCACTATGGAACCTTTATTTGATTTCTGCCTCCAAAATTGTAAGGTTCTGAGTCTGTGTCTTAGGAGAAATTGCTCAAAGTTAATGGAGCAGTCTCAGATGCTCATTTAATTATATGAAAATATTGAAGGACACCCTGGAAAACCATCTTACACCGCCTGTCCCTTATTAGTTATACAGTGGTGTCACTTGTATTCTGTGCTTAATTTGTAATGAAAGAGGTGCAGGGGCTCAAGCAATTAGGAAATGAAGATCAAGCACTTTTTTACATTTATAACTGACGCAGCAAGTCCAGAGGTCCTAGGACTACGAGCTGAGTAGACTAGAGGTGCCAGGGCCAAGCTTCACTTTAAGATGAATTCACATGAAGCGTTGGACACATTGAGCATTTACAGCATTACCAACGTTGAATCCGGAAAACAATTCACTTTGGATGCAGTGGTTTTTCAATGCCCGTGCATGAGAATATGCTGTCAACACACTCAACGTCACGTCAAGTATTGAAGATATTTTGGTGCTGATGCTTGGCATAGGTATTTGATCTCCTACCATGTTTTTGCATTCATAAATATTATAAATAGGTTGGTTTACGTCAAATTCCCTAAACAAATGACATATTCAGAAACTTCACTTACCTGTCAAAAATAACTTTCAAAATTCTAAAAAAATTTAAAATAATATAAATTAGATAATATTTTTGGCAACTTGTGTCTAAATTTGATATCTTTTCTATTAAAACACTTATAAAGCATAATGTGTAGCTATATACTGAAATTTAACAATTTATATTTTATTAATAATGTGTAATAATTATATTTTATTAAAATATCTCACAGACCGATCATGTCAAAGCATCCATCTGGAGCTGAGTTTTGAAGGAGAAAAAGAGCAGAGGAAGAAGAAAGTAAAAAAAATATCAAAACAGCGGACAAAACAGTTGACTAATAATGCAAGTACTAGTCAGCAACAGAGTGAAAATCAAAATATGCAACAGCTTCAAGTAATTGTATTTGCTGAAGATAAAGATCCTGAGGTATGTTTGGAAGAAGAAACTGAAGATTGTTTAGAAAACAACTTGTAATACAATAGAGATAAAAAAATGTTTGCAACACCAACAGGAAAATACAGATTAAAAAACCCAACATGTTATTACTCCAAATTTTTATTTCAACGATCTCACATCCTGGCCCAACATAAGTGATAAAATAAGATGTTGGCTTCTTGGTCACGGTCCCGATCAAGGGAAAGATGCTGATTTTCAAAATTCAGTGTCTGAAGATAGATGGCATTTTTCACTAGACTGGTTTTCAAAATAGCTATCAAATGGAGAGTCTGTAGAGCAAAACTTGTTAATATATTCAAAAACTCAGAATTCCCTCTTTTGCTTTTCTTGTATATTTGGTAAATTGTTTTGTCAAAAATTGCTAATTCTAAAAAAGGTTTTACAGACTGGAAACATTTATATAGCTTGGAAGAGCATGAAAATTCATCTGATCATAAGATAATGTATTTATAATGGAAATTATTCTATTTTAAAAACAGTATAAAATTGGTGGAAACATAGATGAGCTTTAGAAAAAGCCATACAATTGGAAAAACAAAATTGGAGAGAGATTTTTGAAAATAGTTCTGGGTGCTATCCTTTTTTGTGCCAGGAATAATAATGTACTTATAGGAACTGAGACAATTGGTCACCTACAAGCTGGCCTCTTCCTAAATTTAATTGAATTAATCACTACAAACCACAACTGAAAAAACACGACGACACATATAAAAAAGGTTCCACGAGATATTTTGCTCCTGCAGTTCAAAATGAATTAATTGCTTTATTAGGAAATAAAGTTTGTTTAGAAATCATTAGTAGGATAAAAAAATCAAAATATTGTTCATTGATGTTTGATTGTACTCCCGATAGTTCACATAAAGAACAAATGTCACAAGTTATGTTTATGTATGTGAAGGAAAGATTAGGATTGAAGAAAGTTTTGTAGATTTTATAGTATCATATAAAAAAATGGACTTGGTTTGTCAACTCAAATTTTGAATAAAATCAAATAAGATGGACTTGATATAAAAATGTGCACTGTCAGGCATGTGATAATGGCATCAATATGTCAGAGATATATAAGGGAGTACAGGCCAAAGTACTAGAGATAAATAATTTAGCTAAATGTACCGTATTTTCCAGCGTATAAGACGACTTTTTATGCTAAAAAACATCCCCCAAAAATCGGAGGTCGTCTTATGCGCTGGGGCTTTTCTCGCCCCGGAGGACACAGACTGCGGGACCTCGCAGTCCCGCCGCCTGTGTACTCCGGGGCGAGAAAAGCTGCTCCGCGTCTCCCTC